GCAAAAGCATGCTATGAAGCACTGTCAAGAGCATGCCAAACCAACAGGTGGCGATATAATCTAAACCGTAAAGCCATGTTGGCCAATCAGAAGCCTGAAAAAGTATCAAGTAGGCGGAGATAACAGCGCAGGCGCCGACGTCACAAGCTCCGGTTTCGCTGTCTACACGATAACACTGCAACTGGAGTTTTTGAAAATCTTCACTCGGCAGGCGTTTTCAAAAACGTTCGGTTTCAGTGAACTGGGGCTGCGTTTGCGTGTGGACGAATGGCCAAACCGTGTAGAAAAAGCTGCGGTTTTAAAAATAACTGCGTTCTTGTGGACAGGGCCTTAATCCCGCTCCCGTTGAATCTCTGACCATTGCGCCTGCTCCCGCAACATGTTTCGCTCCCGCAATTTTTGTGTCCACTCCTTTAAACATTCTAATAATGTGTATAATTTTGCCGCATCAGGGAGCCGCTCTCAGGATGCGGTGTATTTAAGTATTTTTGAATGAGCGTTTGCGCTGTTTACTTTCATCTGGGAAAACTGTGCGTTATCTCACTTAATTTGTAACAAGTCATTTATAAACCTATGCCAACACAGAATAGGGCATCTTGTACCTAGGTTTGGGTACCGAAACCCGCTACCAATATGGCATCGGTACCTGTGTAACCGGTATGTACTAGAACCGAGTCCGAACGCAGATTTCGGTGCCTCATTTCGGTGCCATGCCTAAGCGATCGATTGAAATATTTGTCCATTTTATTTTATTTTTTTAAATAAGTATCGGTTTAGGCACCGGAACCGTTTTAAAAGTATCGATTTGGCACCGGTATCGAAAAAAAACCAAACGATACCCAACCCTACTTGTACCCTGTCAAGGACAAATCTAACCAGCAAAACATGATATCAAAAGCATCCTAAATGTTACATGTGTTTACATTATAGTGAGTAACCGTTCCTGGTATTGCTTTTTCAAATAGCCCACCATAATCTGTAGTCTGAGCCTGTCAAGGGCTAATGGCAAGGGCAGATATGTTACTAGTTAGTTTCAAGGAAAATCATTTTCAAATAATCCTTTTTTTTTTTGCCAAATAACCCTGTGTTATGTGTCCACCCCCGCAACCCCCGGAAAAAAGTTCAGGCTCAGGATTTTTTTTTGCTTTAACCCCTGATAGTGCCATGCAGTATTTTTTGTATGTTTTGGAAATGATGAATCATGAAATAAATGAGCTAAATATCCTTTCAATTGGTTCCAGGCCTTTAAGACTCACTCCTGCTCTCAAATTTTACTCCCAACCTTGAAATCAGTTCAGAGCAGTTCTTGAGAAACACTTTTAAGATGAGCCACATCAGAGTAATTTCTTCACGTTGTCCAAATCAAGGCTAAGCCGTGAGGCCTTGTTTTATGGTATTTCTTACCATATTTTAGCACATAGAAATGGGAGAACGTCTTTCTTCAAAGATCTTATTTTCTTTTGAACTCTCCGTGCCAGACTTGATGCACAGAATCGCTTTAAAATGCATTAAACAGCACCGCAATAGCTGATAACTGCCCCTTGTGCATCTGCCACACAGCTTGAAATGTCCTCTTTCATTTTCTGTCTGAGGACAAATTGAGGTTTTGTTGAGGCATATTGATTTTCACCTTGGTGTGCTTTTGGATTTTCAAATAATCAGATGGCCCGAGAAGTCGTCGTTTTTATATATATGCTCTTCATGTTAAGCGAAAAACATTTAGTTTGTATTCATGTAGCTTTTGGTGGCTGTATCTATTTTATTCCCTTTCTTTTATGCGATTGTCCTTACATAAAGAGTGTGAGTGAATTACCACAAATGTCTTTTCTGGTAAATGTAATGCATTTTTCCATCTCTATTAAACACACTCTCTGTCATTTGTTGTTTCTCATACACAGGACATTCTGAACAACTTGGATAACACTGGCTCATGTGATCTGGAAGATGATGACCTCATGCTTGATGTGGATCTGCCAGAGGACGGCGCCTTACTCCATGGTTAGTACACACACACACACACACACATACAGTGTAATTGAGTAGTATAACCAGCAATCATTCACTAAGCCAAAACTGCCTTCTTATTTGACATCTAAAGTGCTTACAAATATGGAAAGTTTAAAGGGGTCATATGATGCGATTTCAAGTTTTCCTTTCTCTTTGGAGTGTTACAAGCTGTTCGTGAATTCTCCGTGCCAGACTTGATGCACAGAATCGCTTTAAAATGCATTAAAAAGCGCTCCAATAGCTGATAACTGCCCTTGTGCATCTGCCACACAGCTTGAAATGTCCTCTTTCATTTTCTGTCTGAGGACAAATTGAGGTTTTGTTGAGGCATATTGATTTTCACCTTGGTGTGCTTTTGGATTTTCAAATAATCAGATGGCCCGAGAAGTCGTCGTTTTTATATATATGCTCTTCATGTTAAGCGAAAAACATTTAGTTTGTATTCATGTAGCTTTTGGTGGCTGTATCTATTTTATTCCCTTTCTTTTATGCGATTGTCCTTACATAAAGAGTGTGAGTGAATTACCACAAATGTCTTTTCTGGTAAATGTAATGCATTTTTCCATCTCTATTAAACACACTCTCTGTCATTTGTTGTTTCTCATACACAGGACATTCTGAACAACTTGGATAACACTGGCTCATGTGACCTGGAAGATGATGACCTCATGCTTGATGTGGATCTTTCAGAGGACAGGGCCTTACTCAGTGGTTAGTACACACAAACATACAGTGTAATTGAGTGGTATAACCAGGAATCATTCAATAAGTCAAAGCTGCCTTCTGTTTGATGTCTAAAGTGCTTACAGATATGAAAAGTTTAATAGAATCACACCTGCATCAGTTTTCTCAAATCTGGTTAATACATTACTTAATAAATAAATGTCTCTCTTATTCTTTTGAACACCAGTACAGGAGTTTATCATCAGCTATTTACCTTTGTAACCACAATAGTCCACTTGAATTAAATTTCTAATATAATCATCCTTGCGTTTATCTTTGATCTATTAATTAATCTTCTGTTTGCATAGATAATGATAGTTGATCAGTTTTAATCATTATGTTGATAGATCACAGCCAAGTGCAAGTGATAATCACTATTTTGAATGTGAATGACTTTTGTACGGATGGCCATGTCAGAGTTTCCTTCAGCTCGGTGTGATTTGAATGAATTTTATGTGATGAAGAGATTGAATTCAGTATATCATTAATTCAGTTGGATTTAATATATCATTTTGTATTTGAATTCATGTTGTGTGGAATGTAAAGTGTTGTAGAGATCTGACATGACTGGCTAACCCAGAACCCAGGACTTATTTTCCAAAAGCTAGTGTATTATTTTTCAAGACAGTGTGGGAAGGGCGTTTTCTGGATTATTTATTATATGACTGTTGGCTGTTTGGAGCTTTGCTTTTTGATATGTTTGATGGATGAATCATGAGTTAAAGCTTGTATGGTTACTTTTTCCCCCAGCAAAACATTATAGTAAATTAACCTAAAATATTAGGTCAAAATACCTATTTCATATGAATGTGTAAGTATTTTAAGTTCTTTTCCATTTTTATTCACCTTTTGGCTTCTGTGCAGTTAATTTAATAGTGCTGTAATGTGACATTAATTTTTAAATGTATAAATATATAATTATTTAAATATTAATATTAAATGTATAAATTTTTTTGAATTTAGTCTTTCAGTTAATTTGAGGACATTAAATGCATGCATAATAATGATCAAGAATTAGAAAAAAATTTGAAAAATACCTAAAGTAGTGTTAGACTAAGTTTTGCAAGTTACACTGAAAGACACTGCTGTCACTGCTTGACTTTGCATGTCAATTGCCAAATACTGTCAAAAAAACATAAATTAGTTATTAATGCAACATTATACACTACAGTTCAACAGTTTAAAAAAATATATAAATTAATACTCTTATTCAGCAAGAAAGCATTCAATTATGAAAAACATAAAATCTTACCGAACCCAAACATTTGAACGGAAGTGTATATTGCTATATTGCACTAACTGTCCTGTAATGCACATACTGTTAAACAAATTCAAGTATATAACAGTAAAGACATACAATAGTGCCTGTGTTACTTGCCTGTCATGAATGAGTTACTATTCAAGACAGCCCCTGCCAGAAATCCTGAATACTGAATGTCAACTGAATTATTTGAGTGACTCTCAGATAAACTCTCAGTTTTGGAAGAGAATGTCCTAATGTCGCTTCCTGTTTTCTTCAATCTCAGAGTATGATTTTAGAGTGTGCGAGTGAGGTCACAGGGTGGTTACGGATTCTGCAGATTCCAGAGTCTTTTGTACGTAGACAAATTCCACATTAGAGATGGCAAACAATACACTTCATTACATACTCTTCACAGATGACATTTAAATGAATGAGTACAGGAATGAGGAGCACAATCCCTTCTTGTTTGGGACCGTTCTTTCAGCTGTTTGTTAGCTCAGATGTTAAAAAAAAAAAGTTTCTTATGAGCATTGGTGTATTTTTGCTTGGTTTTTGAGTTTTGTCATGTTTACTTTCAGTATTTTGGCCTGAGCCATCAGTAGGAATCAGTCAGTTTTACAGTGCTGTGTATGTGTGTGGTATACGTGTGTGTGTGTGTTGTATTTATAGCCCCGGGCATCATGCCCTGCAGTCATGTGAAGGGGGTTGTAGAGCCAGAAAGAGCCAGAGGAGGGAATAGATGACTTCAGAACCCCATCCCCCTTGTCTCTCCCCTCCCTGTCTGTCTGTCTCCTTCCCTCCTTCATTCCTTCCATGGTTGATCCGTCCACTTGGCAGGCAGGAAGGCCTGCTGTTTTGACACTAGTTCCTGTGACCAGAGGGGAGACCCTGCCCTAGGGCTGTGCCGACTTCGGTCGAGAGCACTACCATCAGTTCCCCTTTTCTTCTGAAAGCCCCACGGCTCAGGGATTACAGCTGTGTGTCTCTGTATGTGTCTGGTTCTGGTCAAATCTCCCAGGGAGTTCCCAGAACTTACAAACTCACCCACGTTTTAACAGGGCGGAAAAGTTCTTGGATTCGCAGATGCTCGGCTGGCCGGAAAGTCATAGGAATTTGGTCAATATTTGAAAGTTTTGTATGTACTTTTGTTTTGGAGTTATACACCACACAACTTTGGAATTTTTAACTTTGGGGAATTTTTGTCCAGCTGCATTTCAACCTTTTCTTTTGGATGTGTCAGTCAAAACAGACCATCTCTGCTCTTAGTTCTAAGGTTATTTGTATTCGTGTGGGTGAGTTTTGGACTGTTTTTCGAGTCTGTTTTTTAGGCTCTGGCAGTGAACCAGACAGCAAGGACAAGAGGAATGTAGCAGGTCTGTTTTGGAGCTTAGTTTTCTGTCTGTTCTTCTTACTGTCTTATTCTGTGCTAGAAGTGTATAGAAAGATTGAAAGAGTGCTTGGGTGTGTGTGTGTGTGTGTGTGTGTGTGAGACAGAGAGATTTCGTATGCCTCAGAGTGTGTTCGTGTAAGTTTGCCCTGATATCTCGCCTCGGGCGGTGTGAATGCTTTGTATCGAAACTCTTAAGAGCTCAACCTCCCAGAGAAAGATGACCTTCTTTTTCCAAGGAGTGTGTGTCTGTATCTGAGTGTTTCTTGGAGACTAACTAAATTGTGTTTAAAAGTGAATTGGGTTGTGGGTGGTTGTTCAGTGCTTTTGTTTATTTGTCATTGACTGCTGTTGACCCCTCTGTGCATGCAGATGGGATGGCCCACTTCGAGCGCTCTGACAGGGGAGGCCGGCCAACTCAATGGAGGAGGAGACAACAGAGATGGAGTGGAATGGATCATGCTCATAATGACAACAGGTGAATGCCTTGGAACACACATTTCCTAATTAAACATGATAGTAAAAATGTAGATCAGGAATTCATTGGATTATGAAAAGTGGGTGTTACATACCGCAATCAAGAGCGGTTTCACATAGGTGGCTGTTAGGGTTTATATTTTTATTTTTTAAAAGTATACTATTATATATTATTATTAGGGTTGGGTATCGAGAACCGGTTCCAAATTTCCAATAATCAGGTATTCGATAAGACATGTGCATTTCGATTCTGCCTAACGATTCCCGCGTTCGCATTTTAATGTGATTTTAAACTATTTAAGTGCAGGAAGGGAAAGAACTTGCACACTGTTTGCGTGCAGCGCACACATCTGAAGCGCGAGCACAGAGAACAGTGGTCCCGATGCAGGTTCCCGACCTGTGTCCGTTCTCGAACTGTTCCGTGCATTTCCACAAAGGTTGTTCCGGGCCAGAACTGACTTCTCTTTCACATTTATCGACCAGTATGCATGAAATACGTCAGTATATCATCATAAACACAGCCGTTTTTTTGTCTTAAGTGAACGTAATCAGATGAGAAAGAAAACGCATGTGTAACAGTATTTTTAGATCTGTGTGTGTTCGGTGTTAGAGACAGCCGTCTAATAAACGTGCTGCCTATCATTAATGTTAATCAAAGAACAACAGAAAATCATTAACTGACTGAATATCTTTCGTAAATTTAATGAGGATTAATCAATATTTTATTTATGAAAAGAAAACTATACAGTGTTTTTAAACTTTTGATTTCAATTTCTGTACCTGACATTTGTTCAGTTTTATTCACTTTAATGTCAGCAGTTGTACACAGAAGCAGTTCCGGGGGAATGACGTATGAGGTCAGCTTTGCGCCCTTTGCGCCG